TTTTCTCTAGTCGAGAAAAAGTATGGAAATGTGAATGAGAGTTTTGCAAAACTTACAGTGGAATTAGCTCAGATGTTAGCAGGACTGGGTCTGTGATTTGCAGCACGTCAGGATGCTGATCACAGACAGGCATTAAAATACACAAAGATAGTGATACAAGCCAGCAAAGCAAGCCAGCTCCAATTTAGTTTGGCAATGACTTCTTTACGCATTCCATTTCCCTTTCTATTTCAGCGCTCTCATACCCATGTGTGAAGTTACATACTGTAGATGTCTGCAAATTTATTGTTAGGCATTATGAAATTATGCCAGTTTTCTCTTTAGATTGCCTGTCCCTATCCTCATGCCCCTGTTGCGCTTTCATGCAGGAAGTCCAAGCCAAAACAGATGTTCTTTATTTCTCCAGGACTAGATTATCACTACCATAATAAAATCATTAGGAATGGTGATTAATAGAAATCTAGGCTTGGACATGGGCTCTGACCTACCAGATTTGATGGATTTTCTGTCCTCGCTGGTGTCCCTTTGTGTAGCTTATGCAATGCCCGTTCGGCAGTAGTCCGAAATACATGCCAGGGGAAGCTCTCCTGCTGCCTTCTCTCTGTGCGTTCAGTTGAATGGATTTTGTTTGCAGAGCGGATAAGTAAAGACCGTGGTTTATGCAACAGCACTTCTACCTTTTTGTATTCAGTAAAGCATTCCAAGATTTCCAGTGCAAAAATGCTGTGTGATGCCTGTTGTCGTAAATATTGCATGCAAGTTTATTTGTATTTTTCAACTAGTTGAATAAAAAATGCAGTGGTTTCAGGGAAACGCCCTCCGTTTAGAGGTTGTTTTCAATATATTCTGATATATCTAAGGCACGTGTATACCTCGTGACCTATTATCTTCACCCACCATGAATATGCAACTGATTGTTTTGTTTGTTTCTGGAAAATTAGTGTTTCAGAAGGGACGGGCCATAGACACAGGAGAAGTTGAGATTGGAGCACAAGTTATGCAGACGATCCCCCCTGGTTTATTCTGGCGCTTTCAGATCACTATACATCACCCCGTGTACCTGAAGTTTAACATTTCACTGGCGAAGGATTCTCTGCTGGGAATTTATGGCAGAAGAAACATTCCGCCTACTCACACGCAGGTAATCAGCAATAATACTAATTCTGTCATGCTTACCTTTTCAAACAGCAGTGGATGCAAATGTTCACAATACCCGTTCAAAGCAGGGAGGGAAAAAGGGACTGGCTGTAACCACAAAGAACAGTCTGTTTATCCCCTTCTTTTACTGAAAAAGGGATATATACCCTCAAACCATGCTCTCTCAGAGGAAGGGATGGTGTCGTACCACAAGGTCAGGAGTTGTGACCCCTGCGACGTGACTGTCCGGGGGGCTGGACAGGTACAGCCTGTGCTGCTGTGTAGTTCCAGCATCATCTTTTCAGGGACAGTAGGATGAAGTACCAGATCATTTGAAAATGCTTTAATCTTTTTACAATTTTATCAAAACAAACAGATTACATAGTCAGTATAAAGAGTTAATGGGGGAAAAAACAACTAACAAAAAAAGTTTCTGCCTTCTAATGTGAAGATTATTTTGAGGGTTTACTCCTAGGGATTTTGCAGGAGAAAACCTAGCTAAGCAGTAAGAAAATGCAATATTGCTGGCCACATTCAATTTTTTTTTTTAAGGTTTAATGTATTTGGCATATGAAGCTGTCATTTCTATGGATAATAGATTTTTCAGCCTTCTTATAGCAGGATCACACTCCATAGAGTGTGGTAAACTTATATATGGAATCATGGAGAGATTGTTTAGAAGGGACCTCTGGACATCATCTAGTCTAACGTCGAAAATTATTTACTAGACTTCTGATCTTAGAAATATGCCCTTTTAGCTGTCATTGACTTTAATTGAAGCTGGGTCTTTAGTTGAGCTGAAGTTGAACTTTACTGAAAATCAGAATGGCTAGAAAAACCTAGAGAAATATATACGTTTCTTGAACAGGGATTCACAGAAAGGTTTATATCTCTGATGCTTTGAGGTTAACTGGTCTTAAAGTTGTCAGTATCAACTTGGTTAGGTATTAAGAGCTTCCATATAAAAAATAGATACTTATTTGTATTAATAGAATTAAATATAAATAAAAAGTATATTTAGGTTTTGATATACAATATTGATATTAAGGGACAGGCATTTTAAAATCTGGTATAGAACAATGGGTGCTTTAATCTGTTCTTGGCATTTGAGATGAATCACTGCATAAGGTAGGTACTACAGCGTGGGAATTTTGGAATTACTCCCAATAAAGACATGTAATTTTTGAAGTAAATCTGCTGTATTTAGTGCAGCAAGTCTGACTTCACCCTGCCATGGCAAACAGCAAGTTTTGATGCCAGATTTCTGACCTACCATAACGCTTTTTATATGGAAACTGAAGCTAAATGGACTAGGTTATGCAGCTGCTGTCCACATTGGTGAGTACTTAGTCAGCCAGGCAATTCCTCTTAAGATTTCAGCTGTTTATTCCTGTTTGAATGAGACATGCAGAGTAGATTCATAAAAATTTGCTAGGTCGTTAATTTTTGCTCATTATTATTTCAGTTTGATTTTGTAAAACTGATGGATGGAAAACAGTTAATTAAACAGGAACCAAAAAACTCCGAGGAGCCTCAGCAAGCTCCCAGGAATCTCATCTTAACTTCACTGCAAGAGACAGGTTTCATCGAATATATGGATCAAGGAGCTTGGCATATGGCATTCTACAATGATGGAAAGAAAATGGAGCAAGTGTTTGTACTAACTACAGCAATTGGTAAGAACCATTACAATAAAAGTGTTGTTCTGACTATTACGTTGGAAAGCTGTATTTGTAAAGAAATTATTGACCTTGATTCGGCTTCTCTTAAGTATTCTCTTAAATATGTTTTATTTCAGCTTAGTTTAATTAACCTCAGTGGAGCAACTTCATGTTTATGCCAAAATTAGACAAATAGCAGCATTTGTGTATTAAAGATGGATGGTACCAAATTAATTAAGTGTGACGTTTTCATGTGTGTTAAGATTTTTATACGATAGCTTAATTGCTGGAGTAATTTCTGGTGTTATCTTGCTCAAAGTAAAAGAGATTATGTCTGCTCTCTCTAGTTACATGGGAACCATAAATCCTACAAAAAATATCCAGGCTTTAAGTTCTTATTTCCAATATTTTAGTCAGTTAGAAAATCTAAAAGGCAGCTTTTGTGGATTTGGTTGTGACTGTTGTTTGATGGATGGATGCAGTTGTTTTATACAATGATTCGAATGCACCATTTTGTTTGGAACACAGAAGGCAAATATAGGAGACAGTGTCCTGGTGTCATATCAAATCCCTGATGCCTTTTTAATACATATAGGTGGACAGATGTTTGCAACTCTAGGTGTTGTTAGTGAGCAGCGCTCACACGTAGGGTTTCTTTGGAATTTAAATTTAGGTAAACTGTTGTATTTATGACATCCTCAGTTTGCTGCAAGACTTTAACCACTATGCCCTTTAGTTAACCTGTTCTACCATATGTTTAGCAAGATGTCTTTACTAGTAATGGACATGCCATCTGCTCTTTAGAACAATTGGATGCTATTTTTACTTGATGGTAAACACCTTGCAGAGCAGGACAGTAGGATTCAAATACCAAGATTTTGAAGGACTTGCAGGAAAATAATTTAGAAATTGAGATAGAATTGTAATGACTGTTTTTTGTTTAAAAGTTCATATTTGCTCTGTTTGGAAAAGTGAATTTTTTACAAGCAAGAAAAGATGCCATTATTCAATGCCATATAAGAAAATAATATTCAAGCAATTTGTGAAGCACCTTTGCAGATGCTCTATGAAGAGCATAAAATCTGGCCAAACTCCAGTCCAGATCAGAATTCAAATACCTGCCCCCTTGTTTATTTCTACTGTAAGACAGCAGTGTTTATACAGGATGGTTTAACCAATATTTCATCTTTAAGCAGCATACCCTCTCAAAAAAAAAAAAAAAAAAAAAAAATTGAATGCTACAGTTTGGTTCTTGTCACATTTGGTGAAAAAGAAGTTGTCCATCCCTCTTCTGGCTGATAAGCAGAACAGACTGGGTCCTACAGAGGGGAGCAGTGAGATCCACAATGCAGGCAGGAGCCCTTATACTTAATCTCAGAAACGGATGCAAGAAGACATTTGGGGGAAAAAGAGGGTTCATGCTACAAGAATCTACTGCTGATGCAACTGACAATAGGGCTCGCTACTGTGTTTTCATAACCTGTGTATCTTCTTCTCATACTTTTTTTTGCATAATGGTTCTTGGTTGGTTCTTTGGGGGTTTCCACAAAAAAAAAAAAAAAAAAATCCCTGAGCCGTACTCCTTACCCCAGACTGGACTGGAGTCGTATTTGATATCTCTGCCAACAAAGGAATCAACCAGGACCACAGATTGCAACACTCAGAGTAGAGCAAGAGTTTGGATGCATCTCTGCTAAATGCTACTGTTGGCTGTGTGTGAAGCAGTCATGCCCTCCTCGTGAGCATCTGTTAGGTAGTATTTTGAGTTCCTCAATGTTAGTTATGTACAAAATTGATTGTGCTGACACTTTAGCTAAAGCCCTGACCGGACTTTCCCTTGAGGAAGGTAATTTGCATGCAAAATCTGGCATGCCTCAAGTACTTTCATAGGCTGAATAAAGGCCAGCCCAAAGCGGATATTGCATTGAGGGGAAGTAACTTTTCAAACGGTTAATTCTTCATTTCAGAACAAGGTAGGGAGCATTTAGCATGTGATGCTGGAAAATTGAGAAGACAGGCAAGTATACACATAGAGCAAGAGAAGACTTGATAATGAACAGTAATATGTAAAAATTAATAATGAGCAGCATATCTGTGAAAAAACTTACTTCTGAAAAAGAACTGGTTTTCTGACTTTGAAGCAGGTATCTGTGTACAAAAAGTGGATATCTGATGAACAGATACATATCAAATGCCTGTTCTTTGGTATAAACTGATAGCCCAAAAGGAACTTTTTAAAATAACAGTAGGAGATTTCAAGAGGAACTAATCCTTATATGTCCAAGTGTCCATAAATAAGATCAAAATAAACTTATTTCAGTTATTCATATTAGTTGTGGGATGTGCTTATAATCCGTCTTTTGACAAGTTACGTTTGAGTTTAAAAGTATATCAGATTTGATTAGCTGAACTATTGCAATGGCATGCCCTTTCTTGAGACAAGTTTTTCCTCCCAAATCACTTTCCATGGACAGATACTCTTCAAAAGGATCTGGGTTTTCTTCTTTTTCCCCAGCACAACTGTTTTGTGGGAAAGGAGTCACGTTTCCCATCTTCCTATAGCCAGAGGTACTTCCCCATGTCTATTAGTGCACGTGCCCGTAAAACAGTCTCAGTTCCCGCTGTTCTGTAGCCCCGCTCCCGTCCTGCACAGCACCTGCACGGGCTGCAGAGACCCTCAGTCCTAGTGCTGGCCTGACAGTGACCTGCTACGCATGGGAGCATCTTAGCCTTGGATTTGCTTCATATTCTTTACATAAAACCCATATAAATCAGTGAACCCACTGAATTCCTGTAGGAAATACATGTGTAAATTAAAACCAGCTAATCCATGTACAGATATGAGCCTGTCCCCAGATGTGTGAGGTTAAGTGGTTTGCTATCCAAAGCTGTGTGATAAAACACGGGCAAGTTTAAGATCATAATTGAAAGTGTTTTGGTTTTTTTTTCTTCAAATCTAGTTCTTAGTCCTTTATTGCATTGAGTTTCATCACTGTACAAAAGACTATTTTTTTTCCATCTGATTGTATAGAAGTGGAAATCCTACCCTTCTCCACAGAATTCAATTCACATGGTTCAAATGAACACCATAGAAGGCAATTTACTCTATAAACAGGTTTCAACCAAATTACTTCAGCAATGAAAGAAAGTGTTTAAGGTGGACATTTTTCAGCAAATAATCTGGTTCTTGGAGTGCTTTTAATGGTGGTAAATTTTACATGAACACTTACTTTAAAAGCTTTCTGGTGTAATATAAATGATGCACTTGTTATCTCGAAGCTGTCAAGACAAAATCTAATATTTGTAAGCTGCGTGAACAGGAATTTTGTTTTATGCTCCCTGTGAATGAAAATGGGCCTTTTACTGCTTCTGCACCTGTTTGCATGTTGAGATGTGTCCTGCAGAGTGAGGTGAAGATGCCATTCATTTCAAATTCAACCAATATATATTTTTCTTTGTGCACAACTCTCTGAATAAACAGAAATCCTGGATGACTGCTCTACTAATTGCAATGGGAATGGAGAATGTATCTCGGGGCACTGCCACTGTTTCCCGGGATTCCTTGGACCTGATTGTGCAAAAGGTAATCTCATATTAACTGACCCACAGTGCATGACAGGGATCATGATTATGGTGTGTGACTGCTGGGCTTGCAAAGATTCAAAGTGATTAAAGGAGATTAAATTCCTTTTTCCAGCCAGATGGCAGATACAACACAAGCACACACGTAGAAAGTTTCTTTATGCTGCACTTGAGCTAAGATGCATCAAACACTTCTCTCTCCCTGACTTTCAGAGTTAATAGATTCCTCCATCCCTCTTTGCATCCACTGCGTGATAGATACATTTTTTAATAAGTGTGTTAGCTTAGCATGATGTTTTCTGTTATTTAAAATGACAAACAGTTTCACTTTGGAGAAAATTACGTAAGTCAAATGCTTCTGTGGTCTTGACTTGAACAGGGTGTAGAAAAGAAACCTAAAGCAGCTTAGAGACTATTTTCAAGCATTGGCGCAAAAAGCGTGCTAAAAAGATTGTAAGTGAGCTTATTTCTGTTTCAGATATTTCTGTCGGTATTATCTATCATCTACTGCATATGATGTCTGGAATTTCTCATGTTTTTCCAAAGTTTCCTCAAATTTAGGATTGACTTTATTTTTTTAAGAGCTTGATTGGCTCAGAAATTGATACTGGATTGTAAAACTAAGCTTCCAAATCGCTGGTTTACGTGCAGATCAGTAATGGCTAAAACTTCGGTAATGTTAAGTCTGCTTAGAAGAAAGAAGAAAAGGACAGTATCTTGCTTTGTTTCACAGGGAAGAAATAGTAATCTTACTGAAAATCATAAGGAGGCATCACTGCAAATTCTCTGCAGAGGCCAATCAAGGGGAGGGAATTATTTTTATCTTCTAAGATACCCCATTTCAGGTCAAGATTAACATATACCAGTGAAGCAGACTGAGGAGACGAGGACATTGTATTACTGCTGCGCTATCTAGTTCAAAGATTTCAGCCTGTCGCAACCCTCGAATCAAATGGAGGATTGGGGGCTAGAGTGGAAAAGCAACTTTACAGAACGATAAATGCAATAAATGTTAATCTGTGTAAGTATGTAAATACATTAAAAGGATCAATCTGCCTTCTTCAGATTCCTGTCCAGTCCTGTGCAGCGGAAATGGAGAATATGAGAAGGGTCACTGCGTGTGTCGAAATGGATGGAAAGGACCAGAGTGTGATGTTCCAGAAGAACAGTGTATTGATCCAACCTGCTTTGGCCATGGTACTTGTATCATGGGCGTCTGCATCTGTGTCCCTGGCTACAAAGGAGAGATTTGTGAGGAAGGTTTGTGAAGTTTCCCTCTCTATAGTTAGGGGGGTTGATTTTTGTCTTTAATCTCCAAACCTGTTTTAAGGTAGTTAAGAAGTGAGGAGATAGATGTGAGGAGCTTACTGTGAAGCAGTACTGCTTAGCTCAAAAGCACCTTTACTGTCTCACAGAAAGTAATGTTAAGATAAAAAATTATCAAAGGTAAAGGTGTTCAGGTCTCAGTGACAGTCAGTGGAAGGTGATCACATAATTTCTAAGATTCACATTTTTACTCTAAAAGATTAAAATTATTTCATAGAATCATTTAGGTTGGAAAAGACCTTTAAGATCATCCAGTCCAACCGTTAACCTAACATTACCAGGTCCACACTAAACCAATTAAGGGTAGGCTAGACTAAACCATGTCCCCAAGTGCCACGCCTACCCGTTTTTTGAACACTTCCAGGAATGGTGACTCCACCACCTCTCTGGGCAGCCTGTTCCAATGCTTGACTACCCTTTCCGTGAAGAAATTTTTCCTAATATCCAATCTAAACCTCCCCTGGCGCAGCTTGAGCCCATTTCCTCTTGTCCTATCGCTATTTAACATAGTCTAATAAGACTATCTAATAATTGTAGCATGGGCAGTCCTCTGAAATACTCAGTTTCTCTTTCGGTCCAGGACTCTAATTCTTGGAAAATTTTTGTTCCCTCCCTCCATTGAATCTCAGGAGCGAGAACAGAACTGGGTGGAAGTTTTTTGCCTTTCAGCAAGAAGTGTGTTCTCAGTCCTCCAAAAGTTTCTGGAAAACATCCCAACAAGGAAGGATTCCTTTTTTTTGTGAAAGTTGTGAGACCATCTTGATTTGTTTGTCTCCACTTTTCTTCTCTCAGGCTCCAGATACTATTTGCAGGAAGGGTGGTTGGCGTCCCCAGTCCTCCTTGCTGCCAGTAACCTCAGTCCCTTAGCACTCACTGTCAGAGAGCCTGTGCGGACATTTTTACTTGGCCAAAAGCTAAGGGTAAGGCAGTCAGAAGATCATTTAAACAAAATACGATGTGGTGATTCTCCAGAGTAATCAGAAGATCGTAATCAGCTTTTCCCTTTCTTCATTCTGTTACAACTTAGATTTTTCTGCGAAGAACGTACTGACAACATAAAGCCGAAAGAGCAGCAAACAGTTTCAGTTTACCAGAGCATATTGTGTAATTCTGTTGTCATATGTCATTTTTACTGTGAGCCTGTGTTCAGGGTACTAAACTGGCATCCTTTCAGGCTTGGCTAATAAAAAGTGGGAAATTTTGAGAACAAGTAATTGTACTTTTGCTGGCTGTAGTACCGATGTGTGTCTGCCCTCATCTATTGAAAGAAGCAGTTGTTGTTTGCCTGTTAGCATTTCTGAGATAGCTCATCAGCTTTGACTTTCTTCCCCTGTGCATAGCCTCGGAAAGCAGAACTCTTCTTCATGCTTGCCCTGATTTGATGATTTTTCACTAGTCCCCTTAGCCTGAAGCTAGTGACGGCATACTTTGTGCTTCCTGCTATATAGATTTTAGGTAATTCTTTTGAGTAGCACACAGAGGAGGCGCTTTATGTGGCTTGAATTCTCTAGTCAGAAAAATGTCCAGGATGGATTTGATGGATTTGACATACCTGGTATGGTTTTTAACGGGAGGATCAAGAGGATGCTTCTGACATACTCAGCTGTTGGTAGTTTCAGGAATGGACAAAACCAAGAAAACCCAAATGGGAAAAAGCAAATAATACACAGATTTACTCACTGAGGCCGTGACACCGAACAAGCCTGTAGCTGGTGAGAGGCTGACTGCTGTTTTCAGTTGCTTTGTTTCATGCTATAAAGTGATCCTGCAAAATGGTTGAAAAAAATAATTGAGATAAATGGACTCAGACAGCTACTGAAACTAAGAGTGTGAAAACATTGGATTTTTAAAGTAAGAGACCCATCTAAATTTAAAAAAAATGTTGAATTATGTAGAAATAGGGTGGATGAAACAAACCTATGCAAGCAAGTACAGTGGGTTTTTATTGTAAGTGTGTGCATGACATGACTGTTCAGTTTCCTGTATTGTACGACATAACTTGTGCAGTAGTGGAAGTCATTCCGTCAGGAATTCAGATTACATTATTGTATGTAAATGTGAGTTTAATATTATAGCAGTATTGTTAACACAGCAGACATAGTAACAGATGTACTATCCAGGGAACACCAGTAGCTACAAGTATTCATTGCTATGGGAGTCCTTTGAATTTGTCCTGTCATATGATCATTACTAAAGCAAGTGATACTTCTTAAACTGTTTAGGGAGTCACTCAATTAATTTTAAAAGATCAGCAAAATAGAGAGCTGTCTCAGGAGGAGAGAAAACCACCGAGTATTTTTGTCCTATGCTTCGCAAAATACGCATTGTCCAGAAACACCGATTTCCCTCTTTCAGAATTACATTGTGCTGTGCACAAGCCTGGAAGGCTTAGAAAGTTACAACATAAATCTTGAAATAAGATCTTGAATTGGCGGCGTAGCAGCTCAAAAGATAAAGCATCACTTCTTTATTCTGAGGTCAGAAGGTTCTATAAACTGGAGGCCGTTAATCTCTACGTGTGAAGTATTTAGTCTTCCCTTACCGAAGCAGAGAGCATCTCTTCATTCACGTAGCGCAGAATACTGTTTGCTAAGTTTACAATTTAATTATTAAAACAGTACTTGTGCCGATACTTGAAAAATACGTACAAGAACTTTCAAAGTGCCTCTTTACCATTAGTCTGAAGCATGATCTAACATGAATAGGCTTTTGGCTAATTGTTTCCCATGCTCAGACCCCACAAATCCTCTTCAGCTCTGCAGTCTTCCTGCAGCCTCCAGAGAAGGCAGGCTGTGCTCTGCTTAAAATCTGTCTTGTTAGAGAAATGCTGGGGCTTTATGAAAGAATATGCTGATTATACAGGACTAACCAGCTGATTTAAATTCTTCTACAGAGCTCCTGAATTTTTCACTAGGAATAGTTTAATCCAAATTGAGAACAAATTTAGCTCTTTGTCTGTTTGCAAATTGTTCATCAGTATGTTATGACTTTTATGAATCTGTTCATTATCTGCAATTGCCCAGCACATACTTTCTATGAGTGTATGAGATTTTTTTACAGCAAGCATTCAGTCAGAGATTCACTATTCAGGGTTAGTGGATGGCCAATTTTTTTTGTATCAAATTTTTGGCTGTAGAGATAGCTTTCCACAGGAAGATGAAAGAGTAAATCTTTCTTTTTCCAGACGTAAATAAGACACAGAGCACAAATACCCAAATGGAAACACAATGTGCATTTGTAGAAGTAATTATTAATTGTTCCACTTCTTTCCCAGCCCTGCTACTGAAGCACAAACTTCACTGACTTGGGCCAATAGACCTGTCTTGGGAATCCACATTTTAAAAATAAGACAATATCCTTGACAAGCAGAATCATATGATCTCTAACAGTCTACGTGCTTGCTTTTTTTTCCTGGTTTTGGCTTATACTTTTGCACAGATGTTAGCATAGCCTGTTTTTTCCTTTTTTTTTTTTTGTTAACAGTATTTCAGTTTGGATATTGGCACAAAAATCACCAAATTAATCTGAATCCCTGATGTTGCGTTTCACTAGGAAACCACTGTAAGGGTGCAAGATTTATGCTCTTAATTTGTGTATTCCCTGCTTTCCAGAGGACTGCTTGGATCCGATGTGTTCTGGCCATGGTGTGTGCGTTCAAGGGGAATGTCACTGCTCCACGGGCTGGGGCGGTGTGAACTGTGAGACGGCGCTTCCCGTGTGCCAGGAGCACTGCTCAGGGCATGGGACTTTTCTCCTGGACACGGGACTCTGCAGCTGTGAACCACAGTGGACGGGTTCAGACTGTTCAACAGGTACGCTGGAGATTTTATTTTTTCAGTGATGGTTATGCTTTCTGTTTCAGTTGTGAAAGTAGTTACTATTACTGTATTAGTACGAATTTATAAAACAAGATAGGGCATGAACCAGGGGTGCTGTGGCATGGCATTTAATGGGCTTGTGAGCAACTGGCTTTCTGTTGACAAGGATAGAAAGGCTTTTTCTCTGTGGCAAGAATGTTGACTGCCTGATGGCGTGACAGCAGGAACAGTAGTCCTGCAAGAGTGCAAGTGCCTCCTGGCATGGATTGGAGTTAAGCATGACTCTCGCCTGAGATGTGGAGCGCTTATCAGGCTCATGCAATGAGGGAATCCACAACTCTAAGAGAGACTGGGAGGATATAAAAAAAAATAATGGTCTAAATGCAGTGACTGATGAGTAAGAAGGTTCTGTCAAAAAAATCTTTAAACAAAAGTGACCATCCATTTTCTCATGCTGTGATAAAAACTCTTTTCTTTCTTAGAGGACCGTCAGGGTTTGATCCCACTGAATTTGATTAAGAATTAAAATGGATTTCCTATGTGCTTTGTACATTTAAGTTTCGTTTTCTTGAAATGAATGCACTCTGGACATTTTACTCTGTAATGGAGCATGTCATTACCAATGTACGTACTACTCTTTTTTTTCCCCTATAAAGCTCACAAAACCAGAATCTCAGATGATCAGTAGCACATCCCAGTACAGAATAGATGCAAGTGACAGATTTGCTGAATACTGTGGAATACAGCCAGTGGTCCAAGTCACCAATTTGTCTTAGAAATCATCATTCAAAAGAACGCTTGGAACAGTATAAATTCCCATTCAGATCTTTAAGGTGTATGGTTACAATCTTTAAGTAGGGACTTATGAAATGTACCCCCTCCATGATAACTTTTTAACCAACAAAATGTTGATCTGCTAATAATTTTCAGTCTTTGTTACAAAGATCCTGTATTCATTCTACACTCCAAAATTAATGCATGTAATTTCAGTCTGACACTGTCAGATGCAGTACCTGCTTTGAATTGACTTTTTACTGGCTTTCAGCGAAAAGCCCGGTTGCTTGCATTTTTATCATGTATTTTATTATGTGTTAAAAGTATTCCCTGAAGGTTAGTAATATAGTAGTACTTCCATTAATGAAGCAAATGATTAGGAAAGGTGCTAGCTATGTACTAATTTTTTACTCACAAGATATGCAAACTAATTCTGTTCTAATACGACGTTATTGTAGCTCAAAAAGAGATTTTAATCTCCAGTAGGTCTGTTTTGTCAGCTGCATGGAGCAATTAGATATGAAGTAAGGGAACAAGGAGCTAATAACTAACTTCAGTGAAGAGGCTTTTATCTCGTGTGCTAGCATCATAGTTTTCATGTTTGTCTCGCCTCCAAAGCTGTTTTTGATTAATTTTTAGAAGAAAGGTAACTTCTTCCTTACCTCCATCAACCAGTAGGGAAAATACCTCTCTTCATCCCTGCTGTCTTCTGAGTTATCAAAGGATGCTTTTACAACCACCAACAGACATCTCTCTTTATAGCTAGATACTTCAGATTTCTCCTTTCAAACATATCTTTCTTCGTAGGTATTAAACTAGATTCGGGATTCTTGTGGCAATCCAGTGAATGTTAGACTGAAGTACAGATGTTCATTTGCGCTTGAGACTTTCTTCCTAGGATCCGTGCTGTGCATGCAGGAAGTAAAGCTTGATTTTAGTGAGGAAGGAAAACATCAGATGAGTAAGTCAACAAGGTCAGAATAAACGAGCTGTCATATGCGAATGGAAAAAATCATGAGGTTCTGTACAATGAAGAGCATGAAGAGGGTAAACCGCAGACTGCTCGTCTGGAATCAGACAACAAGGAAAGCTTTGCAACTGATAGACGAGCAGTCTCTCAGCCTGCCTCAAACCCTTGCACTTTCCTGCCATCTCTGTACTGCATCATTGTCACTACTGTGAAAATTTGCCTTTCTATATCACCTTGAAGAATATAGGCTCCTGTCCTGATGATTTCTGCATTCCCCAGCAAATTCCAAATTCTTTCAAAATAAAAGGATAAATTATTTTAACTTTCATGTTTCTCCTAAATAGGAATTAATACATCTTGCTGTACTTTAAAAAGGAGAAATAACAAAGGTGCCAGAATGTTTTTGAGTACATTATACCAGATACACTGTGGCCCACCTGATGAGGGATGAGCCTTCTCTATGATACCTTCCCCTACCTGCCCATTGCTCTTCAAGCAATAAGAAATTCCGTTTTACAAGTGGCAGACTAGGGTAAGACAGAAATCAGTGTGGGCATGGAGGAACAGAGATGAAGGGTGACTGTGTGACCCCTGCATATCCTGAAGGATTGCCATTGTTTGGAGCCCCAGCCTGAGACCTAGAATCATTCATGGATTTTTGAGGCTGAAAAAGACCGTGGTGTTCATGCTGTTTGATTTTCTGTAGGACATGTACCAAAAAAACCCATCCTTCAGTTTCTGCTTGACACTCATCATTTCTGTTTAGTTTTTAGAAATTCAACCTTCTCACAAAGACTGAAAATGAAGGATAGCCTGCCATGTCCTTAGGCAAATTGTTTCAATTATGCCTGACCCTCTCTGCTAAAAAGTGCACCTTTAACTCCCAGTTTGAATAGGTGAAAAGTCTTACAATTGTGTTTCTTTCTGTGAGGTGAAAGACTGTCAAATTCTTTGTCAAATTCATTATTTTTTTTTGTCCTTAATGTTTATAAAAAGAGGCAATATTTTAAATTCATTTCCCTCTCATAATGCTACATGCACACACCTCTCCCTCCCCACCACCCCCTCTTCTCTTTCTCTTTCTCTCTCTTCCTATCTCTGTCTCCACCTCCACAAGAAGAATAATGTCAGAAAAAAAAAAAAAATATTTCTTGGGTTTTGGGTAGGCCTTTTGGGAAGTATGACTGACCACATAAAGTATGTGCTTTTCTTTTCCTATTGCTTCATTAAAAAAATTACATCAAGGGAACACTGAAATTCCAAGCCTGAATATTCAAAGGTCAAAGAAAGACAAGATACCTACACGTTAACTAACTCATTTTTCCTATGTTTCTTATGAAACAGGTTTCATTTTTCACACTTAAGGAAATGCCATTTTGCTAAGGATGTATGGCCTGATCATTCAAGCAGTTACTTGTTCTCCTATATACTTGCTCTTCTGCAGAGTTGCTGTACTAAAGACAATGTCTTTTTCTAATCTACCAGACTGTTCAGATCAGATTCTACATGAAATTGCATGTTGAGAGAGTTTGGATACAACAAACACTGAACTGTAACATGATTGAATTAATTGGTTGGTAAGAAGTGGCTGGTTTAAAAAAGGTGAAATGTGTATATAGTTATACATAAATGTTTGAGGGAGCGCATGCACAAAAGCACAGAGTAGTGGAGTGAATTGGATTTATTTCTAGTCCTCCCTCGCATTACACCAGCTTCTAGCCAAAAGAGTGGTAATTCTGAAGTGCTTCAAGATCTTATTTTTATCATCAGAGGCCTGAGGCCAGGATCCTTCTCCGGTGTAGAATAGACCTGTTCACTTTCTTTGCACTGCTTTGGTTCCCAAAGTATTTCCAAGACCAAAAGAAACAGAACGACAACACTGTTACTGTTCCACACTGTCCAAGCGAGTTTTGGCTAGTCAGCTTAACACAGATGTCCAGCATAGTCTCTGCTCTGACCTCTGGACTGCCAAAAACCCGTCTCACTGCACCACATCCAGATACTCCTTCTAGATCCAAAGTTCTTGATGGCCAGTTGCCATCCTTTGAGGTACAGAAAATCCTCTTACAGAACCCCAAAACAGCTGTCAGGATATGTTTTCATCGTGTTTGAACTGGTTCTCAGTAAGAGCAGCTCAGTACGGCTTGAAAGTTGTTCAGACATTTAGTATTGCTAATCCTACACTATTTGTAGGACACAACCTATGTTGGCTTTTTATTCATCTCTGTTAAGATCCATCCTTTCAATATTCTTAGCTGGATATCTGTTACAGACATATTTGGCCTCTTTTTACCCTACAATATTGAACTTCCATGAAAAGCCATTTTCTTTTGTTAGCTCAGATTTCAATTTGCCTAGCCCAAAGATGACATGGTTTTCATTCAGGCTTTGCCTTGCCACTTATGTGCCTATTTGTAAAGGCTCTTCCTGTCAGCCAACGTTCAAACAGAAAGGTAATATGCTGCTGATTCTTTTGCCTTCTTTAGGCAGCTTCAACTGAATTTCACTCTGAAAATACTGACAGATCTTTAGCTACACCAATCAGAACAACATTGATAGGTATCCTTTCTACGGCCATATGTGACATCAGGAGGAAAAAAAAATTACTTACCTTCTGTCGCTACCTAAGTTTTGGTTTATTATATGGACAGGATCAAAGTGCTTTAATTGTTCTCTATGATTATACACCGATGTGTATTTACCATGAGGGAGGTGGATTAGCCTGTTTTGCCAGTTTGCCAACTGGCTTGAACACTGAAGGTCAAAAACAAGCTACGGTTTTCACTGCTTCAAAATTACACCATTGTCAGAAATTTGTAGAGAAGTGGCATAGAGTTATTCCAGCTGAGTTCTTCCAAATTCTGTACCTTGGACATAGCTGTTACAATTCCAGTTGCAAGGATCAGTGCTGCAGTCGTTGTTCAAGTAATGTAACTGAATCTTTATAGTCTATGTTGAAATATACACAGAGATCCAGTGTCTTCTTCTACAGTAACTTTATTTCTTTAAGGTGTTTTAGTCAGCTGTTCCTTGAACAATCATCCATCGCACTTTCTGCAGTCTTCACTTTGGACTGTATGAGGAATGAGGACAGTTGTGTCCGCTTTTGCCTAAAAGTAAAGGAGGCACAGCTGTTAGGGCCAAGGCAAGTGAATCTCAGGCAGAGATCCACAGACATCTCCGAGGAGAGCTGTCTTTCCACCATTTTGATTCCCAAAGTGTTTCCAAGACAAAAAGAATCGGCAACAGC